CCGGTCAATTGACAATGGGTATCTTCAGTAGATAATTGTTTATAAATACATGTACCTTTTTGACGATGTAGTTGTAGTGGTTCTCCAGATTTCAGCTGCGCACAGTAAGACTATCTTGACATTCATATTGAAGATTGTGACTTTCATACTGATTGACAGTTTTTATGAGTTCTTCATATGTTCTTCAACTATAGGACTGCTGTCGTTGATTTTCTAATCCTTTCATTTAGGTCTGCATGAGATCCTCCTTGTTCATAGATGATGCTTCCCAGGTACGTGAAAGATTCCACAACTTCCAAAGCTTCTCCATCAAGTGTGATTGAGCTGGTGTTCTCTGTTTTGCATTTGAAGATCTTGCTTTTTCTCTTGTGTATGTTGAGGCCTACTGATGCAGAGGCTACTGATACACTAGTTCTCATCATCTGTATTCGTTCTTGTGTATGGCATAGAAGGACCAGATCAAATTGCCTAGTTCCATCCAATCTGTCCATTGTATTCCATGCTTCCCGTTAGATGTCTAAGTTTTCATAATCCAGTGAAACGTCAGAAGAAAGAGAAAGAGGGAGAGTTATCACTTTTATATGACTCTGTTCCTCACTTGCAATGCGTCCGTCAGTTGTCCTCCATGTACAACTTCGCAGTGTAGTCCTTCGTATGTAATCTCAAATACACCATAGTGTTGAGGAATTTTCCATAATGTCCTTCTATCCACACTGTCGAATGCTGCTCTTTTTTTACAGCATTGTAAACTTCATATTAAGCACACATTACTCACTACGCCCAACTTCAGTATGAAACTATCTACCTTATTGTAGTCCATTTAAAATCATTGAACGGTAAAGAATATATGTATATATGTACAATTAGAGTAATCGCTATACTTTACACTAAAGAAAGATATCCACAAATTATGCCTCGTAGTTATTTAACTTTACACACCCATCCATCCATCCACACACACACACAAATGATTCATAGTTATAGGCAAAATCATTACTAGTCATTTGAAGCTAGGCCACCATAGGAAACCTGGAAGCACTGGACGGCCGTCTCGTCCTAGTACGGGACCCCAGCGGTGCGCACTTACTGCCCCGTACCCCGCGAGATCCGAACCCAGGACCTGTCAGTCTCGTGCCAGGTGCCTAAGCAAACAGACCACTGAACCGTCCGATATCCAGTGCTATTAATGTCTAATGTCAACCAATCCACAGAGTTGCGCCACCTTACACCATTGTCTTCAGTGAGTTGATATCTCACAACTGACCTGGTTGAACTCCACTGGTCATTGTTTCTCACTAGAACTCCAGGAGTATCTCTTGAAGTCAGTCTCTAGTGGATAACCTGATGGTATTCGAAGCAAGCAATACTTGGTTCGAGTCCCAGAGTGAACATCAACTCTGCGATGCAGGTATATCCAGCTAACAAGTCCCACAATAGGACGAAATGAGCGTTAAACTGGATTTCACTGTTAACCACTATCCATCTTTGCTTAGAATGCATGTAAATTAAGGCAATATCGAGGAAATCCTCACAGGATGCATAAATATCAATTGCCGTCCTAAATACCAATCGGAAGATACAAGTGAAACAACACCAAGTAAAAAGTACATTTAGTTTTAGTATTTTTCTCAACAGTATTTGACCACTGAATAAAATTCTTGTTTAAATATACAAACATATTAGTCTCGTAGAAGATTAGTCGTGTTCAATCAAATGACAGGTGTGAGAACGGCCAATAGTTGGACTCGAGGTATCTCTAAGAAGCTCAGAAAGAGCCGAAGATATTCCATCCAATCATCTTTTGGAAGAATACTTCAGAATCACGACGTGTAGCTTCCCTATTGGACAAATGCTAATAATCCCCTGTATGCAGATTAGAGGACTATAAAAACCATATACACCTGACAGTTTTGTACCATGTTTGACACTTTTTTAGAATAGCATTCCTTTCACTTGTCCTCTGTCTTCTCATTTTCGACTTTGGACAATTCTAGCGTTCGAGTGCTCAAGTTGTACGCGGTATAATAAGAATCTAAGCTCTAGATATAACAAGAGGTTACCGATATTGTAAAGAACGAGGACTCAGATATAGAAGACCAACTTATTAGTTAATACAAGATTGTAGAATGTCTTCATAAAATACGAAAACTATACATTCAATACTTCATTTGAGCATCTACCATCAATTGTCTCTTACAATCTTCATTGTTCCTTTATTCCTGTTATTAGTATAATAATTAATCTCTGTAAACATTTCTGTTCTTATCAATCCAATCTTCTCAAGCTTTTGTTGTCAGGCCTTCGATTTCTGATTGATGTTTTATGCTACTTATATCTGTCAACTTAAGTAGAATAAACCACAATAGGATAGAACGATAACGCACTAGTCAACCATCATTCACCCATACACTGATAAATGCAAGCATATTTAAAGATACACAGTTATCGATTTCTGATTTTAATTACAGATTTATTTTGAGTTAATGTTCTAACTCATATGCTCCAATGTTTATCTATCCCCCAAACCCTTCACTGTACACCCAACCAACATACCTAGGTAACCTAAGTTCTGTACCTATCACCCTGTGTTGTAACCACAGTTCTATTGTTCATAATTGCAAACGGGAACCACTTCATTTCTTACGTAACTAAGTAAAAAAAACACAAAAAAAACCTGATAAAAATGAAGATTTATCAACTCTTTACAGAATGTTTCTACTGTAAAACACATACATGGTTCATATAGAATAATCCAATGCTGTCGTCATAGGATAAAAGTTCATATCTGTCAAACTGAACAAAATTTTTTTTACTTAATTGATATTGACATAATGACCTGAAATAATGTTACCATGGTAATATATGAAACTAATATATCATATTGATAAATCTTCTAATTGAAAATTAGGTTCAATTCTTAAGCTTTGGTAGTGACCCCCTACCCTCACCCCACCACAGGCTGAATCTACATACCAACTTGGAAACACGATAGAAAAAGCGCGAACTATGCAAAAAAACCCTCTTTACTTCAAAGGTTTGTTTATGTACAGAAAATCTAGGGTTTTTATAATATTTTAAATGGTCTTGGATTTCGGGAAATCTCAGGAACGTTACTAAACACAATAGCAGTATAAGTGATCATCCAATCAGAAACTCGAAATGTGTCTTATCCCTTTCTAGACGTTTCTGGTGAAACATTTATTGAATGTATCTTGGATGAGATGCTTCTCAGTGTTTTCAGAGCCGTTTTCTGGATTATTTTCAAGGAGATTTCTGGATATCCCTACATTTATTTGTTTAAATAAACAAATAAATATTGGTACAAGAAGGCATCAATTACATATGCATCACATAAATCATTCGATTTGTGTAAGGGTTAGGATACTGTTCGGGTGCCCAAATCGAAACAGGTGGTTTCCACAGAGGATCACTCCCCGAGCCATTGACCTAAAGGTCTGATCCACAAGACTGTAGACTTATGATAGCCGGTGACCAACAATTGGCTCATACAACATTTTTTCCTTAGGATATTGGAGCCCATGTGCAACATTGGTTTGGTATGAGGGTTTTCCAACTTCCCTAGGTAGACTGTCCATGTCAACCAACCCGTCTAATGCGTCAGATATTCGCTTTTCTTCCTCTCGATTTTGTAAACAACACCCGTGATGCGAGAAAGCAGTGAGTAGGAATTCCGTGACAGTGGATGCATGCACGTGGCCATGTGAGAGCATTTCGAGAGGATAACAATGCCAGATGTTAACTAGATATGCTGATAATAATAATAGTCTTTTTCATACAGTTGATAAAAATGAACTTAAATAACCGTAGTCGGGAAGTAACACAATTCCCACAACCCCTTAATGACAACAAAAAAGTGCTCATTCGAAGCTAGATTTGAGAGGAAATTTTTGGAGTTCTGACGAAAAGCCGTTATCAGTGGAGCTAACCGGTGCCAGGGTGTGAGTCATTTACTCACAGTAGATAATGATGGATATCAGCTTAGTGGTTTAGAGGATACGCGTGGAATCGCGTAACCGAGGATCCTGGGTTTGATTCCCCAGTGTAAGGTCGTAGACGAACTTTCGCAGAGACTTATAATGGGACGAGATGGTTGTTTGTCACTTCATAATCTTCAATGATGATCGCTCACCCTATCGTTGCTATCATGATTGTGAAGATTAATCTCAACACTTCAATGGATCTATAAATTTACTCAAGCTAACAACGAAAAATGGACATGTGACACATATTTGCCAATGATTATTAAGAGACTGAAATTACAAATCTTAAGACCATGAATATTCATCGAGAATTTTTAGCTAAATAATCTCCAGATCAAGTGTCCACATGGGAGACCGAAGTTCGTGGATTGGATTACCAGTGTCACAGTCAAGAATAAGCACTGATGAAGACTTCCACACTATAACGTAAAGGATGTACAATGCTTCTACATTTCTGAACTTGGTCTATCCACGATCGATTCGTCATTTAAAGCTATGGAAACTTCATAGGTGTTAGGTATAGACTGATAATTCTAATAACGGAATGAATAAGACACAATAAGGTAAAATGTTGAAATAAACGTGGAATGTGGGTAGAAAGAAAACGGAGACGGAAAGTGAAACGGAAATACATGGGATAATGGAGTAGGAATGAGAGAGATGACGATTAATGGGTGAACTGAAGATGAAGATTATAATGGACGAACAGATTGAATCAGTTACTCATATGGTAATGGCTATGCATCTGTAACCAATATCCTATCTGCTATTTCAATATTGTTCAGCCAGCATTCCCAACATACATGAGCAATGCTTTGAAGATATTTACGACTGAATCTATTTATTTACGACAGTTCTCAAGTTTCACTGGTCATATTGCACAGTTATAAATTGAAACAGAGGGAACTGATGAATAGAAATTTTATCCCTTGTTTGATAGAAGGACATCTCGCATGGATACTTTGTCACAATTCTCCTATTCTATACACATTCTAGTCAATGACCGTAAGTTGAAGTCATTATTTCAGAAGACTGATCAGTAAATAAGAAAGGCAATTATCTGAAAATTATGTCTAACAACTATCTGTTTCGGAGAATGAGACGAATGACATTAAAGCGTTTAAATTCCTTATTAGCTGGTGAGCTCACAAACTCTCTATAACAAACTGTATATCACCAGAAATGAAAGGAAGTCTAACTTAAATTAACAGTTGTATGTAGTCGGAGTTCTTGTTTTTTTTTGAAGAACTATCTACTCAAAATACTTCAGATCCGTTGGCTAGACACTATCAGCAACAACTTACTGTGGAACAGAGCAAACTAGATTGTAGTGAAGGAAGAAATCAGGAAGAAGCACTAGAAGTGGATAGAATACTCATTGAGGATAGCACCCAACTGCATCACAAGGCAAGTCCTCACTTGAAATCTTCAAAGCAAAGGAAAAACGGAAGACCGAAGAACATATTGTAGTGAACAAGAACACTAGTGAGGACAATCGAATGCACTGAACACAAAATTACAAGACTTGTTAATAAAATCTAACAATCATAAAGTAGATGCTTAATTTGCAAAATGTTCATCAATTGTCTCAAAATGACTCAGACTTCATTGTTCTTACATTTTCATACACATCGCATCCTGTTTCCATTCTTTTCTGTTCGATCCTCTTGTCTGTCTGCTGCCAGACCTTCTGTTCCTGACTAACATCAATAACTACTTATATCGATATAAGTAGCACATACCACAATATTACTCCGAGGAATGGAGACAGATCTGAAAATAATAAACAAGAATTGGATAGATTAAGAAAGGATTGCTGCGGACAGAGTGGGTTGGAGAATGCTGATCAGTGGCCTATTCTCCACTGAGAATAACAGGTGTAAATAAGTAAGCACCTAAATTTTCATGTAGTACAATACGATCGGTAACAATAAAAGGATTGTGACGTACTAAAAATAATTCTTATTATACTATATTTAATTCACAATGAATTGTCAACATCAGTGATTATCTCACAACTACCATTAACTATAAAGATTTCTAGTTTGATAGGTTGTACTTATAACATTATTAGACAAGATACAGTAGAGAACTAACTTCTTGTTCCGCTAGAACAGATAAACAACAACAAAAAACAACAGTAAAATGTCTCAGGAAACATTGAAGTGTCTCCATCAGTGAATTTTTTTTTTACAAGTTACCATGGTGATATGGTGTATGTCCGCTAATTTTAGAAAATCTTCGGCAAAATAAAAAAAATGTGATAAATATATATATAATTAATTAATTAAATGGAAATCAGAATAAGGATATAAGGTGAGATTATAATTTATAGACGAACCAATTAGGGTTAAAGATAATGGGTCTTGGATTTTGGCGCGTAATTCACTCATCCATTTGGCTAAATAGCGTCTTGGCATTTGAGCTGATGTCGGTTTGTGATGAAAACCCCAAAATCTAATTTCTAACCTTAACCATCAAATGTAAATCAGGAATTTAATTCCTCATACAGGTTTATAACCCTCAATTAGTCCTAGTCATTAGATGGAGCCTCTCAAGGTCAGTTTAGCGTCACTGCAAGGTCATCTATAAAATATAGTCTCATTGAATGTAAATTGGATGTTCCACTTTAAACTGTTAGATACGATGGAATATCTGTCTCCATTTCTCGGGGTAATGTGTTCTTTGGTCTTCCTCTTCACATTCGGTTCTGAGGATTCCAAGTGATGAGTGATTGCCTTGTGACGCTGATGGATGCCTTCCTCAAACGCTTCTTCCTGATCTCTTCATCCACTGGAATTTGGTTTGTTCTCTCTTATGGTAGGTTGTTGCTGATCGTGTCTAGCCAACAGATCAGAAGTATTTTACGTAGACAACTGTTAATAAACACTTGTATCTTCTGGATAATGGCTTTCTTAGTTCTCCAAGTATCCACTCCATACAGTAGAATTGTTTTCACATTTGTATTGTAAATTCTGAACTTGGTGTTGATTGAGTTGTGTTGTTTTGAGTTCCATATGTTCTTCAATTGTAAATATGCTGTTTTTGCTTTGCCAATTCATGCCTTCACATCTGGATCAGATCCTCTGTGTTCATCAATGATGCTGCCCACATATGTAAAGGTGTTTACATCTTCCAAAGCTTTTTCGTCAAGCGTGATTCGATTGTTGCACTCTGTGTTGTATCGGAGAATCTTGCCTTTCCCTTTGTGTATGTTGAGACCTACTGCTATTGAGGCTGCTGCTACACTGGTCGTCTTTCCTGCATTTGTTGTTGCGTGTGCGATAGAAGAGCCAGATCATCTGCGAACTCTAGATTGTCCAACTGCATCCTAGCTGTCTACTCTATACCATGCTTCCACCCAGATCTTGATGTCTTCATGATCTTCCAGTCGATCACCAGGAGAAACAGAAATTGTGAGAGTAAGCAACCTTGCAAAAAGATTCTACTATGGATATATTCCATACATTTCATGGTATTCTTATATTGTCCCAATTGTAGACTTTCAGAGAAGAAACTTGCTTACATGAAGCGTGCATTTTCCAAACATGTATCTAGGTATCATAAAACATGTTTATGTAAATCAGTCAATAGCTTGGTAGTTGAATATCCAATTCATTGTGGTCATCTATCTCCATCTAGAATCTTCATTTAAAATTATTCACAGAGTAAAACGAACTGGTTCTATGAGGAGATGAATAAGAAGCTTGTTCATATTGGAGACTTTGGTGATTCATTAACTCAAACCTGATCTTTATGTTTATAAGTATTGTATCCAATCCCTTAGTTTATTGTGATCTTAATACACTTCCATATTATGTTGATTATTTCTTTACATATGTCTGTTTTCTCTTCTTCATCTTCCTACACTCCTTAAATGGACAATGTTATCAGTATAGGGTTGTGGAGATTATTAAGTTATTGATTGGGATCACGAACCAGGCAATGTTGGACCACCATTGAAAACCTGGAAGCACTGGACGGCTGTTTTATCCTATTGTAGGACTCCTCAGCAGTGTGAATCCACGATCCCGCTCGTGGGATTCGAACCCAGGGCCTTCACTCTCGCGCGTGAACGCTTAACCTACTGGATAACTGAGTCGGCATCTAATGATGTTAATGTCTAACCTCAACCAGTCCACAAAGTTGCGCAACCATCTTTCATTGTACTGAAGTAGACACCTGTTTCTACCCGACACGGATTAGCTCCATTGGTCACGGCTTCTTATCAGAACTTCGAGAATTTTTTCACGAAGCTAGTCGCTAGTGAGCACTACTGAGGAGTCTCACAATAGGACGAAATGGCCGTCCAGTACTTCCAGGTTTTCAAAGGTGGTCAAACATTAATCGGTTCATGATCTCAATGAAATATCATTGTTATATTGGAATGAATTGATTTTCTTTTTCTTTTTCTCTTCAGACAATGTATCTGTAAAAATGCAATGAAAATGTCTTTTTTTTTGTATTATTTTGTTTGTTTTTACTTTGTATTATTATTAGTACTAATTACATATGTGATTGTGTACAAATATGTTTATATTGTCTGGATGTAAATGACAAACAAATGGATAACCTATAATTTCTTACATGGTTATCATGGTTATTGAAATTCGAATAGTATCATTTATTGATTTTATCTTTCAATCCATTCGGTTTGTTTTGATTTGAATGGACAAATTGGTTTATATTGTGTCGTGTGTGTGCTGTGTGCGTGTGTGTGTATGTAGAAATCTTTTTTATTTTTGGATTGAACATCCTTGATAATTTATGTACATGTAATAAGACTTTAATGGAGCCCCTTTCGGGTTACTGACGGTCCTAAGATCGGATAAAGGAGGAGGGTTGGGCACAGGGTTAGCGACCCCAACGCATAGGAAATCAACTCGCTAAAAACGTTAACTACAAAAACAATGATCTAAAATCTTAAGGGAACTTATTAATTAATTTATGTGAATACATAAATATTGGTACAAAAGGGGAACCGAATACATATGCGCTACACAAGTTACTCGATTTGTGTGTGGGCTATGATACTACTCGGGTGACCAGATTGATGCAGGTGGTTTTCTTAGGAGGCCACACTCGAAGCCTTCCACCTAAAGGTCTGATCCATAAGGCAGTAGGATAACGTCAGGAGACGCAGTCCGATGGTAGACCAACGATCGGTTCATACGTCATTTGTTCCTTCAGAATTCTGGAGTCTATGTGCACCATTGGTGTGAAATGACGGTTTTTCAACTCCACGTATAAGAGTTTTAGAATATGGAAAATCTTCATTCATTAGGATGGGTTTATATATCATTCTTTTTATATTTACAGTCAGAGTACGCTGTGAATAAAATATTGATAGACATGAAAGTTGTGCACAATAATAGTGCAGTGAACCAGAACATCAGTTGGGACAACTGAATGTATTTCAATACAAAATTATAGAATATTTTAGTAAAATCTCAGAACCATACAATGAATACTTCATTCGCAAAATGTCAATCAATTGTCTCATACTTCATTGTTCCTTTGTTTCCACACTAATCATTCTCTGTTCTCGTTCCATTTCCTCAACCTTCTCACATCAGACATTTCACTTTCGATCACTGATACAAATACTACTTATTTCTGTCCATATCAGTAGCACATATCACAATTGTATTGTCTTTATCATCACTTACATAAACTGTTCCCTCATTGATTGAAAATTCATCACGGTTCTTTCAAACTCATCCTCACGCCATACATTTACAGTATTTCCTTCCATTAGTTAATGAATTATTTATGAAAATAACAATCCATAATGAATGATGTCTTTGTTCTTTATAATCTGTGAACAGTAATGAAAAGACATCACCACCACCACCACCACCACAACAACAACAACAACAACAAAGAAGAAGAAGCAGAAGAGAGTGTTGTTTAACCCTTAGAAACTTCTATTTTATTTCACTGATCCTTACAATGATGACCATACTTCCTTCATAGAGTTCATTCAAGTGTTTCTATCTCTCCCTCCGTCTCCCCCTCTCTCCATTTCATCAATTAGATAAATTGAAAAAACAAAGCAAAGCAAAGAAAAGAAATAGAGAATAATATCACCGACAATGAGTGAAAACTTCAATATAGAAAGTTCAGTTCTTTTATGTCCATCATAAACACCATACATATCAATCTATCTGACGAAACTTTGTCAACATACCTGATTACATATACTACTGAGGTGTGTGCTACTGATATCTCTCGATATCAGTAGTATATGTATCAACAATCAAAAGTCAAATATCTGGTGGTGAAAGGTTAGGAACATCAAAGTAAACACAATGAGAACAAAGAATGATTGCTGTGGAAACAATGAACAATGACGATACGATTTATACGATTGATTGACATTTTGTAATTGAAGTATGTGTTGTATGCTTCTTAGATTTTACTGAGAGTTCTGTAATGTTGCATTCAAATATATTTGGTTGTCCTCAATTTTGTTCTCGTTCACTACATTTGATGTTGCTGCCAACAATGTGGAGGGGAGGTGCTATTCTGTGGACATCATTGTGGGTTTGGTGCTAAGGTGTTAGTTGGGGCTATCTGGTACTACTACTACTACTACTACTACTACTACTACTACTACTACTACTACTACTACTACTACTACTACTACTACTACTACTACTACTACTACTACTACTACTACTACTACTACTACTACTACTACTACTACTACTACTACTACTACTACTACTACTACTACTACTACTACTACTACTACTACTACTACTACTACTACTACTACTACTACTACTACTACTACTACTACTACTACTACTACTACTACTACTACTACTACTACTACTACTACTACTACTACTACTACTTATATTAATACTAATAATCACAGTATATATATATCACAATTCATGTTATAAATAATCATAATGTAAGGAAGTATCACTCGGATTTGAGAAAATATCTCAGTCATATTTCGACGAAATTCAGACATGACTGGCTTCCACCTCTTATCACATGAAGAGTTCAATACGAATACAATCGGACAATGGTCAAGATGAGAATTCTACATTATGTAAATATACACAAAAAAACAACTACATTGTTGATTGTGTTTAGGTGTTACTTCTTTCTATATTGATTGCACAGATTATGTGAACCAATCAGTTTTCATTCTAATCTACTCTTTGCATTGTCAACTCTCAAACAAATCAATTCACTAAAGAATTAGGAAAAGAAGATAGAAGTGAACAGGACACAATTTGTGGATATCACCAGATGGCATCACAAGATAAGCACTACTTTTGAATCCTGAAGAGAAACAGAAAATGAGAATTGGGAGCAGACATGGGAAGAATGAATAGCAAATGGAAACAGCTAGTTAAGATTGTTCATGATACATTTGGATAGTGAACTCTGGTGGTTGGCTTATACTCATCGACAAGGAGTAACAGGCTTAAGTAAGTAAGTAAATAAATATGACTTAATATAATGTAATAAATGTCCGCGCACGAGACCGAATATCATGGATTCGAATCCCGCATGCGTGATCGTGGGTGCACACTGCTGAGGAGTCCCATATCAAGACGAAATGTCCTCATAGTACTTCTACGTTTTCAATGATGGCCTAACATTAATTGATTTATGATCTCAACCAAAAGCTTAAAAATGACTATACACATGTGTTTTATCCTTCAATTACATTAACCGAATATTATTTTGTATTAGTTAGTGATGAATTGTTAGTTCCATTTTCTCATCATCATCATCTCTACTAATCTTTGCTTAAACTATAACTGATTTAATTAGATTGGCTTTTTCCCAAATGTTTAGTAAAAGAGAGATAATAAAGAGAGATGGGAGAAAGGTGAACAAGACAGTATCCCTCCTTAAAAAAGAAATATGTACCATCTCTTTACATTCATTCCTTTTTATGGTTCGTTTTATGTGTATCATTTAAGAAGTACTTTCTCTTTTGAAAGGGAAATTTATTTAGATGATATTTCAATGATTAAAGATTGATACATGAATTGACTTTAACCAGGTATACATAACTAAATGGTATAATATCAGAATGGTATTTGTGGATATTATAAGAATTTCAATGGCTGGGATTATTGGTCAGTTAAAGCTAGACCACCAAGGAGAATCTGGAAGCACTGGATGGCAGTTTCGTCCTGGTACGGGACTCCTCAGCAGTGGGCATCCATAATCCCGCCCTTCTGCGAGATTCGAACCCAGGACATATCAGTCTTGCGTATGAATGCTTAGCCTCTATACCACTGAGCTGGCCGCCATTCAACGGTGTTAATGTTTAACTTCAACCAATCCACAAGATCGAGCTAACGTCCACCATTGTCTTAAGTGAGTTACTATCTCACAACAGACCTGGTTGAACTCCACTGGTCATCGTTTCTCACTAGAACTTCAGGAAATACCTCTTGAAGCTATTGACTAGTGAGTATATGATGATCATTATCAGAAAAAGGTTTTGTGGATATTCAATTCATCATTTTGCACAACGCTTCATTCATTGTCTGAGGTAGATAACTGTCTCACACCCGACACGGATCGGTTTCCACTGGTCACGTTTTCTCACTAGAACTCCGAGAAATCCTTCTCGGACCTAGTCACTAGTGGACACATAACTTTTATCAGAATTCAGATTTGTGGAGATTATGGTAATTTTAAAGGTAACTTAACTTATCATTGAGATGATGAAATAAGATGTTATGCAAGTAAGTGTTAGAAATAGGTAGTTAGACTAGTATAAGACTGATAACAATATCTTTTCGAATGCATAATTCCTGTATCATATTTCGGTTAATCATTTTTTACTTGACTTACTTTTGCTTGTTACTACCAATGGAACATAAGTCGCCTACCAGGGTTCTCAAACCCACACTGTCCTCAGCCTTCCCTTCTTAGTTCTATCCAATTCTTGTTCATTCTTCTCATGTCTGTTTCCATTTCTCGAAGTACTGTGTTCTTTGATCTTCCTCTCCTCCTTTGAAATTAAGGATTCCATGTGAGAACTTGCCTTGTGATGCAGTTTGGTGCTTTCCTCAATGTGTGTTCTATCCACTTCCAGCGCTTCTTCCTGATTAATTCTTCCGCTAGAATTTAGTGACTTTTCTCCCACATTAGGTTGTTGCTGACAGTGTCTGGCCAACGGATTCGAAGCGATTTGCGCAAAAATCTGTGAATATACATTTATATCTTCGGAATGAAGACTTTCGCAGTTTTCCAAGTCTCCGCTTCATGCAGTAGAATTGTCTTAACATTTGTATTGAAGATGCTAACTTTGGTGTTGGTTTGGATTCCAGTTGTAAATATGCTGCTCTTGTTATGCCGATCTGCGCCTTCACATCTGTATCAGATCCACCCTAGTCATCAATGATGCTACCTCACACCACAGATACAATATACTTAATGAACGTTAGGAAGACATTAATCTTCAGAATTAAAGATGATTTTACATGAAACAAATGAAACAAATTGTAGTCTGATCTCATTTAAATTTGGGCTTCTAAAAAACAAGAAAGTGTGTCGTCAATGTCGATATGTTTTTTAACAATATGACTACAATTTATGCTTTCCACTGTCAAATGTAGTGTAAGGATAAAAGGATAAAAATGAGAATAAGTAAGGTAGGTAGTGGGCATAAACAAAATCTCTATTCAACTATATTAAGACTAATCAATAGCAGTCCTAGGCAATATGAGGAAGATTCAAGTAAACAATACCAATTGAATCTAAACTTCACCTCATTGCACAAGCAAGGGTCTATCAGAACTCAGTAGCTAAGCGGATAATGAGATTGCGTTTGAAGTGAACGATTTCGGGTTCGAGTTCCAGATTGAACATCAACTCTGAGGTGCAGGTACATTCAGTTGACGAGTCCCAAACAGGAAGAAACGCATGTCCTGGATTCCACTGCTAGCTACTACCCATCATTGTTTATAATGCCTGTGACTTAAGGCAATATCGAGGCAATACGCACATTGTCCACATATACCAATAAGAGACTGATCAATTGCAGTCCTAAAATATTAATGGGAATATTCAAGCAGACAATACCAAATGAATTTATATTAAGTATTCTTAATGTCTAGTTAGTTCTTTTTGCATGTAACATTCTATACATTTTGGTGAGATTATCATTTATGAACGAACCAATAGTTCATAAGATTGATCTTAATTCGGCTCAGCTGTGAGATAGGAACTCACTGATGACAATGGTGGATGTGTCGCTCAATTTCGCGGATTAGTTGAAGTTAGACATTAATACTGTTGGATGCTGGCTCAGTGGACTAGTGGCTAAGCTCTCACACGCGAAACTTATATATCCTGGGTTCGGATCCCGCGTGGCGGGATCGTGGATACACGCTATTGAGGAGTCCCACAGTAGGACGAAACGGCTGTCCAGTGCTTCCAAGTTTTCCATGGTGGTTTAGTTCCAATTGACTCATGATCTCAGCTATCGAAATAAGTATATCATTATTCTCATGGTACATACACATCAGAAACAATTTGTTCAACCTTCAACTTGTACTTTTCATTTATTTCTTCATATACAACATATTAACACCGAATATCAATCAGTAATAACTCAATCCTACACATACGTGCTTACACACAGTCTGTTGAGTCATTTATTTTCACGATTTGACCTTTCCACAGAATTCTCATTTAATTAGCCCATGTTATTCTATTTACTAAGGTCAATATCCTATCAGCAGCAACCTAATGTGGGAGAGAACTCACTAAATTCCAGCGAAGGAAATAATCAGAGAGAAGCAGTAGAAGTGGATAGGACACATATTGAGGATAGGACCCAACTTCATCACAAGGCAAGTCCTCACATGGAATCCTCAAGGTCAATGGAGAAGAGGAAGATAAAAAACACATTACACCGAGAAATGGAGACAGACATGAGAAGAATGAACAAGAATTGGATAGAATAAGAAGGGAAGGCTGAGGATAGAGTGGGTTGGAGAATGCTGGTCAGTGGCCTATTCTCCACTGGGAATAACACTCGTAAGTAAGTAAGTAAGGTCGATATTCAAATATGATTGAATAAACACAGTGTAGATATGATATGATTTGAGTGTTAAAACACTATATATTTCTTTGATGATTTTGAATATTCTACCCTGAAGAAGTCTAGACATGTTTGTTTGGACGAAACATTGAAATGATTATTTTAAATTTCAATCACTGTGGTTCTTTCAGAACATTAAGTACTTCATCTTAAGGTCTTTTTACCGTCCCTCAAAGGTTGTCCATAAATTGTAGTCTCACCGACAATCATATTTAGATGAGTAACTGAATACTAAGGCTTCTTTTTGTCTTACTCGTCGAACAACTAAACAAGTATCTCAACAATTGTAAACCTGCAGGGGCTGAATATCTATTTCTTCTCATTGTGTGACATCTAAGTAGTACATATCCACAATCTTGTAACAGATAATCAAACCCACAACCTTCAGTCTTTGGTTTTAACACTTAATCTTCAAACCACTTAGTCGACATTTAATTGTACACAAGTTTAACTTGTATCCATGGAACTGCCAAATCCTTTGGTTCGGTTATCCAGTGTATCTTCATGAATCTACACTGATAAAGAATCTAATACTAGGACATAATGAAAATTCACTGATCCTAGATTTTTGAACATTTATCTAATCTGTATCGATTTCTGATCATAATCACATTTAACGATCATAACAAATTTATGTTGATAATTCACTTTCAATGTTGACATTTTCATTATCCTTTATATAGTATATACGATTGATTGTATATTCAAAGTGAATATATATTGATCTCTCTTTATTGTTTTATTCATTACATAGCATATTAATACTACTAATACTACTACTACTGCTACCGCCACCACTGCTGCTACTACCACCAC